GTAAAAGGGGGTGCTGCCTGATGCCTTCCTTTCCTCCCTCTTTCGTAAGAACCAGTATAGACAGGGCAGAGCGGTGGTGGTTGACTTAGAAGGGAAAATCTGAACCATTGTTTGCACGAGGGAGGGAGGGAGGGTTTGGTCAGGCTGAGGCGGCGCTTAGGTGGGGGACAGGGCAGGCCTTGGGGAGCGCCAGGAAGCTACCTGGAGGGGCTTCTTGAAGCTACTTGCCCGTTTCACGCACTTCTCCGCCTTCCTCTTTTGGCTATTTTCTGCCACTGCCTAGGGAGGGGCCAGAGCTATTTTCACTCCCTCACCCACCACTGAGGATAATTCCAGATGGAGAGACGAAGAGGGAAAATATGCATCTGGGGCTTGTTTGAGTTCTCCGCAGCCTTTCTACTTTCCATGCCCGGTGTCCACCGCACCTGCTGGAAACGCCCCTTCACCTTTCCTGTCCTGACGCCGAGGACTACGCCCACTTGGCCTGGTCAGCCTCTTCCAGACGCGGCTCCCTAGGCTGCCCAGCTTCTGCTTCCTTTGAGCTCAGACATCTACCTAGCTACTACCCAACCCCCCATTTAATTATTGATGATTTCTGGTGCTGGGCAGAAAAGATAAGAACGCGAGCGCTGCTTCTCACCAAGCTTTTGAAAATTTCCACAACCCAAGTCACAAGGGCCACCTCCCCTGGAAGTGCCCTTTTTGGGAGGGCAGGAAGCCACCAGTTAGAGGTGCAAGGCCTCCAGGCACTTTTTGGCCACTCTGATTCTCAATTACCAACATGGATATTAGATGCAGCGAGGTGATATTCGCATTGGGGAAGATGATCAATTTGGATGACAAAACTTATTTCCTAACTTTGGGGTTCCTTGACTGTGTCTTCAGGACCTTCCCCTAGCCCCAAATACCTGTCCCTTTACCAGAGGCAAGTAGAGTCTTGGGGTGAGAAAAGGCTACATTAAAAAAAAATCATTTTATTGGGGGCTTGTATAGATCTTATCACAATCCAAACATCCATCCATTGTGTCAAGCACATTTGTACATATGTTGCCATCATCATTTTCAAAACAAGTTCTTTCTTCTTAAGCCCTTAGTATCAGCTCATTTCCCCCCTCTCCCCCTACCTCATGAACCCTTGATCATTTTTTTTTCATGTCTTACACGCTGTCTCCCTTCACCCATTTTTCTGTTGTCCATCCCCCTGGGAGGGGGTTATATGTAGATAATTGTGATCGATTCCCTCTTTCTCCCCCCACCTTACCCATACCTTTCTGGTGCTACTCTCATTATTGATCCTGAGGGGAATGTTACATTTCTAAGTTTGCTCCTCTCCTCCTTTTTCACCCTGAACTAGGAGGTTCAAAGGAAATGTTTTCTAGAGGGCAGGGTTTCTGCCTTCTCATCTTGAACCATGGTAGCATTATTTAAATGCCTGTACTTGCTTGACTGGGGCTTAATGCTGATAGAGAACAGGTTAAGCAGGTTCAGATCTAAACCAACCCAGATAGCTACTTGGGAATAACAGCACATGACCCAATGCTAGCCAATAGCTTGACTCACTCAGTGACCCAAACCTGTAAATCTTTAAGGGAGCAGACAGCCTCATGTTTCTGCAGAAGAGCAGCAGCCTGTATGGTTGCACCACCAACCTTGCAGTTGGCAGCCCCGTGCCTAACCCACAGCACCACCAGGGCTTCTCCGATGAGGTAAAGATAAAGAATGTACCTACGGGATGATACATGTTGAGGAAGGAAGTACTTTTTAGGTAAAGTAAAACCGGCGTTGTTGTGTTTCATAGACAGAGTAGGGAAGAGAACATCTCAGGTTCAGGTCCGCTTGGGACAAAGAAGCACTAAAGGTGAAGCGCAAGGGCCACCAGCAGTCGGAGGTGCTCACTGAAGAAATTTGAAGGCAGTGGTGTTTGTGCCTCATCAGAGGTTATTCATCAGAAACAGTCTCTGATTCTGCCCCCAGAGCCTGAGGGTGTCAATGGTTACACCTAGGGCTCCTAGGCAAAAGGCTGCTACTTGGAACCACCCAAAGGTACAGGGGGCGAAAGGCCCCAATTTTGTTTGTTTACAGCCTTGAAAACTTGCTGGAGCAGTTCTGTTCTGCACCCTTGGGGTTCCTGTGAGTTGGAGCCTGAGCTGACTGGATGACAACTAACAACATAGCCCACATTTCCCCTCTCCGCTAACAGGAAGCCCCTCCCAAGACCTTTGTGCTGTGGTTTGGGATTGTGTAAGGTTTAGTGAAGTCCTTTGAAGAAAAATACTTCCTACCAGTGTTTGGTCTTTAGGCTCGTGGGAGATACTGACTCTGCCTCACCACCCTTTACCCCAAGCACTATGTAACTACTAATCTGTTGACCCCTTGGGACAAGGCAACGAGAAGATATTCCAAAGGATACCAGGAGTCTGTGTGCTCTGGATGTTCTGTGAGTAGTCCGAGGTGGGATTTGGTGAAGGCTAGAGAGATTACTGAAGCCCCAACTGTGGTGGGAATTCCTGACATGATACCAATTATAGGATAAACTAAAGCTCTTTGGTTTTTGTTGTTGTTGTTGTTGTTGTTTTTAAAAATAGTGTTGGGGCTGAATCACGGAATTTCACAAAGGGAAAGGGAAATTGAGATCAAGAGCCTAATGCTGATTCGCATGAGGTAGAGGTCAGACAAAGCTCTTTTTACCATTTCTGACATCTGTTCTTCCACAGCACTCTGCTGGGTTCCGTAACTTGGTGCACAATTTACAGGTCATATTCACCATTAGGGGTTTTATAGGGGAAGCAACAGGTTACAATTCAGGATCAGAAACCATTCAAGATACAGTTCTTCAATCGGAATAACTTTGCAGCTGTGGCTTCAGGCTTCTTCGCCTTTGGTCCCTAGGCCCTTGGACCCAGCCTCTGCACAGTTCAGGAACACTGTACAAAACTCTTTAGCTCTGCTAATAAGTTTCCAGAGGCACCCCACTGTGGGGTTAAAGGGAAAAGGGAACCCCACAAAACATCACAGTTTCGGTAGGCGCAATTGTACAGTGATAACAAGTAAAGATTATAGTAAAGTCATAGAGAGCATGAGAGTTAAAAGATGGAGTCAAGTAATGGAGTCAGACGCAATTCATGGTAGCATTGCTCACCTCAGCCCCACTTGATGGTCCTCATGGAGGGGACTTAGCCGCCAGAGTAGAAGCAGCTGCCTCGTCCTCCTCAGCCACCCTCCCGAGAACCAGGGAGCCTCATTTTTTATTGCTAACCACGCATCATATCACTTTAGGGGGATCTGATTACAGAATCATACATCACAGAAAGGGGCAATACAATTCATCCTTGAACAGGTTTGATCACTCTGGTGTCTCATACAATAAAACAGACAATTACTATTCTGGGAGGCATGCCAGCCCCCTGATAGCAGACATGGGGAGGGGTAGCAACATAGGCAATACAATCAATAGGAGGGAGATGACCTAGGGGTGTGCCCATAGGAATGGGAGGGTCTAGGGTTACACATGTGACAAGATGGATGGACTCTAGATTCATAATGGCTACCTAACCTTGGTCATCCTTGGGCGGGTTTGATCTCTCTGGTATCTCCTGCAAGTAAACAGACCACCACTATCCTTATCAGAAGGGAGTGGGCCCTACTTAGGGTGAGTCAGACTATACAGTCTGGCTGCTCTACATGACTGGTGTTAAGGAGAATAACCTCTGACCTACTTTCGCTGACCGCCCAGTGTGCAGTCATTCTCAAGCTAAATCTGGCATATTTTTTGGGGAGACAACTTGGGAGAAATCCTTCTGTTCCCCACACCCCACTCTGCTAGAAAGCCTCCTGCCCAAAGGCACTTGGGTCCCTTGCTTTATGGGTTGTCATACCCACGGTAGCTGTCTCCCTCAGTGGGCTGGGCAAGCCACTGTGCCATTCGCCATCAGTCTTCTGGCTGCTGTTTCTCGCCTCCTTACACCATCTCTGAGGTTACAACTCCCTTGCTGTCTCTTGGGTCTAGGACACCCTCAGGGCAGGAACCCTAGGTCCAAAGGATGCACTCTATTCCCAGAATGTGCCCCGACTAGGGTTGACCCTCTTTTTAAAGCCTAGCAGTTTGGCTTAAAAATAAGCCATGCACCTTATTTGCCTACCCACCCCCCCCAAGCTGCCATGCACCTTATTTACATTAGTGGTAGCCTTTATTTGTATTATCCTACCTTGTCATTTGGTGGAAGTTAGAAGACCATGTGAGCAAGCCACATACAAGCAATCCATACCCGTAGGTTTCGTTTTAACATTTATTTAGATTATTTATTTCTCTATCTCTTTTCCTCCTGTCTTTCACCTCTGTTTCATTCCTGTGCTGTTGTCTGTTTCAGGAAAGTTGACTCCGCCCAATGTCTTCAATCCCACAGCACCAGCCCTCCCACACCTGCACCCTCATTGGTTCTATCTGGTCACAGCAAGTCTGAGGTGGAAAGAGCTGGTCCGGAGGCCCTCCTGTTTACACTAGCTGAGAACGACCTGTGCTACTCTTGGGCAGTGTGAGAACCCACAAGCTGTCTGGCTTCCCACAGTGCATTCTTTTCCCAAGACTCTCCGGGGAACCTTTTGTGTCCCACCTCGATGATTTCCTTCATCCTGGACATTCTCCTCTTTGGAAGCCCAAGCCTGCCTTAGGCAACCCGCTGAGGTCCAGAAACATTGTTAGTCGGCTACTGCTTACTCCCTTCTGACGATGGAGCACCACAAACCTACGCAGCCAAACTCTGAGGAAGCCCGGCCGGCAGAGGCAGATAGCCCTGAAAATCGTGAGGTCTTGTCAGAACCAGAGGACAAGGATGGGGGTGATGCGAACGGGGTGGCTGGAGAGCAGGAACCAACAGATCAAGCTTCACTGTCTGCCCAGGGCCAGGAGAACCTAGAGTCCCCTCCACCTGAAGCCAGCTCCAGCCAAGGGGAGACAGCGTGTGGGGCTCAGGCTGAAGCTGAGACAGGGGGGGCAAGCCCTGGGCCCCAGGAGCTTCCCCAGTCTCCCAGGGCCCGACAACCTGAACTAGATTTCTACTGTGTGAAGTGGATCCCTTGGAAGGAGGAGCGGACACCCATCATCACCCAGAGCGCAAATGGCCCTTGCCCTCTCCTTGCCATCATGAACATCCTGTTTCTGCAGTGGAAGGTAAGAGCGGGTTGGCATGAGGGCTCAGGGAATGTTGGAATTGTGCGATTCGGCTGGACATGATTGAACTATGGAAGAGTAGATGTATTGACTCCCAATTAAAAATACATTCTAAAATAAATTAATTTAAATTTAAAGCGAGAGAAAAATAGTGGGAAGTGTGCTCGTCCAGGCCCTCGCCCACCTCTTTGATCATGCTGATTTGCGCAAACTGGGGGGGAAAAAACACACCCTAGATGATCCTCCCTACCCCTGCAGCTTGAACAAAGAAGTTAAGATAGTCTTAAGAACAAAATAAAAATTTTCTTTTCCTTCCTCCAAAACCAAAGCTCCAAACTCATGGATAGGGCAGGGCGGGGCTGCCCCTGTGGGTTTTGAGACTGTACTGAGTATGGAGCAGCATGCCCTGCCTTTCTCAGAGGAGCAGCTGGTGGATTGGAACTGCTGACCTTGGGGTTAGCAGCCCAGCATGAGCCCGCTTCACCACCAGGGCTCCTTTCTTAGCCCAGTGTCTTCTAGTCCCTGGCAAGATGGGAGGGACTGACTGTCGTGCAGAGTGCACATTCTTCCACCACTTGTAAGCCCTCCCCTCTGCTCAGCCCATCCTGACCGGAAGCTCTTTCTCTGGGCTTTGCCTCCCATCATTCCTGAGGGACGTGAGCACACACATGGGCTAACGCTTTGATCACCTCTGCTGCCTCCAGGTGAAGCTGCCCCCTCAGAAGGAAGTGATCACATCAGCTGAGCTCATGGCCCATCTGGGTGAGTGACTGGGCCTTGAAGAGGGATTGCCCCAGGGGTCCCAGAGCTTTTTGTGTAGCCAGGAACCCAGAGTGTGGAGGGACTCCCCATGTGGGGCTCTGATCTGGCAGGGAAGCTGAGGGGCCCATAGAACTTTTCTAAATGACAAGCAGAAGTCCTGGGATGCTGTAAGGCCAACTCTGACCTTAGTTTTCCCATGTGATCTTTTGTCTTTGTTATTTAGTACAACTCCAACAGAAATACCACAATGGGAGGCTTTAGCAAGTACATTTATTCCAGGAGTCTAGAAGCCCCAACCCAGGGTGCAGGCCCCAGAAGACTTTTCCTCCGTTGGCTCTGAGCGTTGATCCTTATTCCTTGGCTCTCTGCAGATCTTCCAGTGGCATACCCTCTGCCCCTCTCTCTCCAGTTTTCTTTTTTTGTTGTTTTTGTTTTCCCCTGTTTTCTTATTCAGTGTTTTAAATCTCAAAGTGATTGAATAATATCCTACACCCATCTCATTCGCATAACAAAGACACCATTCCCATAACAAAGACATCCTATGAGTTGATAACCCCCAGCACAGAGGTTGGAATTTACCACACCTATTTGAGGGTGGAGTGGTGGTACACAATTCAAGCCATTTACACTTGGGCCCTTCACCTATAGGAGTCTGAGGAATGAGGGAGCTAGCATGAGTCTCTTCCAGTTCTGAAAATCTGTGGTTCTGGGACATGACCTCTATTCTCCAGGGCAGAGGGAGCTGAGGTTTGAAGATGGCTGGGGGCCTTTACTGATAAGAGACCCTGTCTTGTAGGAGACTGCCTCCTGTCCATCAAGCCCCAGGAGAAATCAGAGGGACTTCAACTCAATTTTCAGCAGGTGAGGGAGGTCAAAGTTCTCCAAACATAAGGGTTTGCAGATTTATAAAGGGCCACCCAGAGTTACGGACAGAAGGTTTTCTGCAGCTTGAAACAGGAGCCCTTTCTGCCGGAGGTGGTGGGATATCGCTGTCCTGGAACGTGTGTCCATGTAGTGTGTAACATAAAAAGGGCTGAGCGGAGGAGGGACTGGGATGGCTTGTAAGAGGACCAGGGAAGAAAAGCAACAGGATTTATTTCTTTGTTGCTGAGGTGGGAGTGGAATGGTGTGGACTGGGGTGGGGCGAGGGGAAGCTAGCATATCCATGATTTTCTGTTCTGTCCCCAGAATGTAGATGATGCAATGACAGTGCTGCCTAAACTGGCTACCGGTCTGGATGTCAATGTGCGTTTCACGGGCGTCTCTGATTTTGAGTACACACCCGAGTGCAGTGTCTTCGACCTGCTCGGCATCCCTCTGTACCATGGCTGGCTCGTTGACCCACAGGTGAGGGTGGGCGCAGCGGACTTCAGCTCACACGAGAGAGGCAGACTTGTATGGGGGTGGCAATAGCCATTAGATTTGAGTTACAAGAGGAGGAGGGTTTAAAGGATGGACCTAGTGCAGAATTCCTGTGGGGTACCAACCTTCACAATGGAATGGCTCCAAGGGGCCTTTTCATAATTGAGGGGTAAAATTAAAGAGACATCAGACAAGATAAAGCATGCAAGGGCTCACCTCTGGGACTGCCATAATTTCAAGAGCCAGGTCTGCGCAGAGAGAGAGAATATATTTCCAACCAAGGTTTATAGATGTTCAGGGTGGGGTGTGCAAGCCCCCCTAATTACAGGTAACCACATATGTAACAAAGTGGCTTGTACCCTAACCCTAAAGGTCCCTGAGGACATTGGAAGAGTAACCTAACACCAGTGTCAGGGCAGGTAAGGGGGAGTGGCTGTCTTCAGTGTCTAGAGAGCAATAGCAATCAGCCATGTGCTTGTTGCACTATGATGGGAGGATATAGTGAGGAATAATATGAATTATGAGAATGTGATTGGGACTCACCTCCAACTCACAAGGGTGAAGGCCTTCTTCCATCCCAGAAACCCAGCCTGCCAGGCTTCTTAATCTGATAAAGGATTCACCCGTATGCCCTCTCTTCCTGTTCTCCCACAAATCCCTTGAATTGTAACCTTTTGAGTGAGATTCTAATGTAATGTAAGGAGGCCGCACAGACAGGGACAGTTCTTCAGTCATCAGAAATGCAGGCACCTTTGGTCAGAGGGTTGCCATCCTGATGGACTTGATTCACTTGCTTCCTACCCTGCCCCACCCACCCCTGCAGAGTCCTGAGGCTGTGAGCGCAGTGGGGAAACTGAGTTACAACCAGCTGGTAGAAAAGATCATCACTTGCAAGCACTCCAGTGACACCAACCTTGTGACAGAAGGTGATGATGCTCTTCTTTTGCTCTCTGTGGAGGGTGGCCCCTGGGTGGTGCACATGGTTTGCCCTTCAATGCTAAAGGTTGGAGGTTGGAACCCGTCCAGTGGCCTGGCAGAAGAAAGGGCTGGTGATCTGCCCCCTATGGAGCGGTTTACTTTGTAACACAAGGGGTCACCATCAGTTGGAATCAACTTTACTGGGACGGGTCTGGTTTTTATTACTGTTATTATCTTAGATGGAGGGAATGCTGGACACTATCTGCCTCCTCCCACTCAGCCCCACTAGAATGGAAGCTCCGCTGCTTCTGTGTCGCTTGCTGATTGTGTGCCCTAGGCTCTAGCTCAGTGCCTGGCACCGGGCAGTGTTCCTAAGAACTTGAGTGAGTGACTACATCAGACTGCAAGGAGGGGCCTTCGGAAGGTGGGACTGACTGAGCCCGAGGATCTTTCCTACCGTGGACTTGGATTTAAGCCAATTCTGGCCCCTCTTGTGCCCTTCTCAGGCCTGATCGCAGAGCAGTTCCTGGAGACCACCGCGGCACAGCTGACCTACCACGGGCTGTGTGAGCTCACGGCAACTGCCAAGGAGGGAGAGCTTAGCGTCTTCTTCCGGAACAACCACTTCAGCACCATGACTAAGCACAAGGTGGTGAAGGTTTGGAGGGGGGGTGGGGGGGGTGCGGGAAGTTGGCATGCTATCACTTCCTCAAGGCTCCCGCTCTCCTTTCTCTCTAGAATAAGCTGCGGTCATTAAAGAGGCTGAAAATGCCTGTGGTTTGCTACCACAAAGGCTTGTTTCTTGCCAGTGCTGCATGTCCACTGGGGGTTGGCAGCACTTTCCTTCCATCTCCTTTGCTCCTTTGCTCTGGACCTGGGCTGACAGAACAACCTTTATGTAATAGAGATGAAGGAACACACACACACACACACACACACACACACACACACACCTTCACTAGCTCTTAATGCTGCTACCTCATGTCATTTCTGCTCAATCTCATTGGTCAGAGCAAGCCACCAAGGAGGCAGGGAAATGGAATCTACCCACAGGAAGGTGCCATTGAATTTTTTTTAAAAACAATACTTCAGTCTGCCACAGTTAGAGACTGTTCAAGCTCTCTAGGAATGGAGTAGGAAGAGGGTGAGGGGGTGTGCCCTCAGAACCATCAGGTGAGCCCAGAGAACCATAGGAAGTAGAGTGGGAAGTAGAAACTTGACCCCAGTTCCCACCATCCTCGCACCCATCTGGACACACACTCAAGGACGGTGCCCCCCTCCCCAACCCCCCTTCCATACACACACACACAGAAAAGTCACCACATGATTTAAGTGCCCTTTAACGGTGCTGCTCAGTTTCTGGCCAGAAACTGCTTCCATGTCACCTGTCTAAAGTCTCCTCTTTGCAGAGCCACCTCTACCTCCTGGTCACCGACCAGGGCTTTCTCCAGGAGGAGCAAGTAGTGTGGGAGAGCCTGCACAACGTGGACGGAGACAGCTGCTTTTGTGACTCCGACTTCCATCTAAGTCATTCGCTGGTCAAGGGGCCTGCAGTGGCAGTGGGGAGTGACTCCCCAGAGAAGCAGCGGCAGGTAGACCAGGTATGTGGGCAGCATGCAGAGCTTTTTTGCCACAGGCAAACTGTGGGCATTCAATCCTCTGGGGGGTGGAGGAGTCGGGTGGGACAAGGTAATGTGCCTGTGTTTTTGGTCCTGGAGGGAGAAGGCTCTGGAGAATTTGAAGACTGGTTTGGAAGTTTGGTTTGAATGTGCTCTCTGGCCTCAGCCTACCTCCCGGTGCTCATCACCCCCACCCCCCACCCCCCCTTGCAGGACTACCTGATCGCCTTATCCCTGCAGCAACAGCAGCAGCCACAGGGCACCTTGGGCCTTAGCGACTTGGAGCTGGCCCAGCAGCTTCAGGAAGAGGAATATCAGCAACAGCAGCAGCAGCAGCAGCAGCAGGCGGGCCAGCCGGCACAGGTGCGCACCCCATCGCCACAGGTGAGCCTGCTGTTGGCCCTCCCCCTTAGCCCTACTTCCGGGCCTGCTCCCTTGTCCCCAGTGGGTCGGCCCATGCATGCTTCCTTGGCTCTTGCTCCTACAGTCGGGGACCCTTCTCCCATCCGACCCCATCCTGCCCTTCCCACCCCACCCGGAGGGGCCCCATCCTCTTCCTGGGCTGGTAGGTAACTGGTGGGATCCACCCCAGGGGAGAGGAGCCACGGCTGGACGCCCAGCCCCAGAGCGGCGGCCCAGGACGAAGCAGGAGTCAGACTGCGTTCTCCTCTAGTCCGGCGGCGGCGGCTGCTGGCACCAGGTCCACCTGCCCCTTCTCTCAGAAGCTTCTCACCGGCCCTACTGCTTGCTCGTCCACCTCGCTCCCCCATAGGCGGGGTATTTATTTATGGACTAGAGCAGGCAGGCTCGGTCAAGCCCTTGCCCTCACGTGCTGCGGCCTTCTCTCCCGCCCCCCACCACGCAGGGCAACACGGGTTGGTGGGGTGAGGATTTCTGCTCCCCAACCCCCTTGCCCCAGAATAGTCACACTACTATGCAGACTCAGACGCCAGGGTCAGGCCCCTGGGTAGGCTGGCCGGCCCTCCCCGCCCCTGGCTAGCGGGGCTGTGGGTTTCAGGTCTGATGTCGATTTCTAGCTCCATTCTTTGTAAGGTCTTCCTCCGGGTTTGGAAATAAAACTGCTTTCCTGAGACTTCGTGTTTGCTGGTCTCCACGGCGATCGATCGGGGCTGGGGCTGGAGTGTCCCAGAGGTATGGGGAGTGGAGTGGTGGAGGGGAGGGCGGTGGGTTAGGCGCTGCAACCCGCAGGGCTGCAGTTTGCGCACCAGCAGCTCTGCTCCGTGGGAGAAAGATGCGGAGGCCGGCGTCCGTGCAGATGTACGGACAGGGCAGTTCGCTGACCTGTGAGTAGGCATCCCTGTCAGCGGGCTGTGGCTCTCACAGGTGTGGGTTGTTCGTCATTCCCACCAGAGCCAGCGGGAGGAGCCAGAGCCCGTTCCCTTCTCTCATCTCCTTCAGCCCTGCCCCAAAGCCAGTCTTTCTGGGTTTTTGGATGGGTCTTATGTGGATGTTGTGTGGGTTGGGTTGGGTTGGTTCTGGCTCATAGTGACCCTACAGGACCAAGAAGCACTGCCCCTCCCCCCCCCCCCCAACCAGGGTTTCTGAGGCCGAACCTTTAGGGGAAGATCATCCACCAGGACTTTCTCCCCTCCCAGCAGCTGGTGGGTTGGAACGCTTGACCTTTGGGTGAAGAACTGAGCTGTTACCTTACCCATCACACCACCAGGGCCCCTCCTCTGGGAAATAGTGTTCTAATTTGGGGCGGGGTTCCAAACCCTCCCTTTAACAGATGAATTTGGGGCTGTGCTTCCTGCTAACCCACAAGGCTGGGGAGGGCCACCTGACCTCTCGGCTCCTATTTCATACATATTGGCCTTTGCAAATTTGGATCTGCGTCTCATTTTAACCATTTTTCCTCGTCCTGTGAATTCATCCTGGTGCCTGCTTGCTCAGTTATTTTGCCTGAGGTTTCCTGGAGAAGAGAGAGTAATGGAAGTGTGGGCAGAGGAGGGGGGTGGCGCTGCTTTAGTAGGCCCCACAGAGCATCAAAGGCACTTCCAAGGCCAAGGCCCCTCCCCACCGGTGTCCTGCTCCACCCAGACTCCCCAGGCAGGGAACACAAACTACAAGGATGTTTGCCAAAAGAGTTCAAGTACCAGTCCAATGTACTGGCCTCAGGGGAAGGGGAAACTTGAGATTCCATTACCCACACTCAAGATAGAGCCAGGGGACATCACTTTGGGATGAGAGGTTATGGGCCTTAAATGAAATGTGGCCTTTCAGCCTCAACCAGAAGCCGGAGTTTGGGATGCTCAGGGTGGGGCAGCCTGTCTGGAGACCCAGCAGTTCATCAGCAGGACTCAGCCAAACTGTGGATCCTCCAGTCCTTGAATGTCATGTGGGGAGCTGGCAGGGGTGCTCAAACGTCTTCAGCCCTGCACAGGGCTAGGAGGGCTGACCGGCAATCCCCCTTCACTACATCCTGCAGACAAGAGAGGTCCGCGTTAATGACAGGTAGAAAGACCAGGGACAAGGGGTTGTCTCAACCAAATACCTAGCTAAACAAAAATTAGCTGGCTGTGCCACAATAAAGGGGTTGCAAAGAAATCAGGCATGCATAAGACACCCGTGGGGGCCATCCAAACCTGAGCATGCTCAGACCAAGGTCACCTAGGCCCAGGTGATCAGCCTGGGCACACACACATCAGCACCCGTGACATTATGGTCGTTACACAGGTGCGCCTGAACTCAGCCACTAAGATTGGCCAATACCCTCAACCCTGCCCCCACCCCCAAGTGGGGATCAGAGGGGATACATAGCAGACTGAGGGCCAGCCACACCCCTCTTCCAGATGTTCCCTTGCAGGTGGGCGGGTGGGATCTCTCTGTGTGCACGATGGGCCCTCTCAGGGCTGGCATTCTCTGCCCCAAGCTCTCCCCTGAAGTGGCCATTTTCGGTTGTGAACTTTCCCACGGCCCCCTGCCATGCGGCCTTGCAGGCTTTCCAGGGATAGCATGTACTGTCTGAGGTTGTACTACCTGAAATTTCCCTCTCCCTCACAAAAGTGAACTTGGATTTACAAAAATGCTTCCGTAGCATGAATTCTTTCAGCGGGGCAAAGCAAGAACCAAGGTAAACCACCCCAGACACCTAACATTAGGAAGACCCATCACTACCAGCGCCCCAGCACTCTCCAATTTGTCTGGGAGGAAAGCCTTAGTTCTCTAGCTGGAGGCTCTGCGGAGGCAAGGAGTGGGAGGGGGGAGGGGGGAGGCGAAGCTCTGGAGCTGCAGTCCAGGAATGTGCAAGGCTCACCTGGAGAGAAGAGTAAAGGGACTTCCCAAATTTCTTCTTGAACTCAGCCCGGATGCTCAGGAGGTCCGTCTCACTTCGAGAGATGAGGATGCGTATCAGGACCTGGTAACTGGGCTCTGTTTGCTGGCAGAGGAAGGAAGGGGTGGAGGGGAGATTCTCCCTGAAAGTCGGGATGGGGTGGCCTGATGAATCATTCAATCATTCTGGGAAGTGAGGGGGAGGTGGGAGGGAAAGAGAAATATACCTGAAACTATGGGACAATCACCCCTGTCTAGACCCTGATGACAGGGAGGAAAACCATTCCCTGGGGTGGTGGAGGGGGCGGGCTGGGGTAGTGCTTCTGTCACCCCTTCCGCTGTGGCATTTGACCCTGTCACTGGCTTAGAGCTTCACTGGAGCTCAGAGGTAGACAGCTCACTCCAAAGTCAGATATGTTGAAAAGGTTAGAAAAGATTAGCTGTGTGCAAACCAGCAAGACACTTAACTTCCCAGTGAATGTCCAAGGAGGATACAACTATGTTGCCCCCAAACTGCGCGAGCGGGTGGGGTGCTGCTAGTAGAGCCTAGCGCCAGGTGACTTCTGGCTCTTATCCTGACCCACTAGACTCATGTCACATCACCACCTTTACATATTTGTTCCTCCTAGTTGAACCCTTGAGGTTTCTTCCCCGCTGTACCTCCACCAACCCACCTCCCTACCCCCGGCCTTTTGGTGGAAGTCAAGGAAGGAAGGTTCAATTTAGAAATCACTGAGCGAGAATGATGAGGGCAATGAATGTACAAATGCACTTTACACAATTGATGTATGTATGGATTGTGATAAGAGTTGTATGAGCCCCTAATAAAATGATTAAAAAAAAAAAAAAAGAAATCACTGAGCAATGATCAAATCATGACTTACAATGTATAGTGATATTATGAAGGCTTTCCAAATAATATTCTACATTATCTTTGTTTTCCCATGGTCCTCCTACAAGGATAGGGCAGAAGTGTCCTGATTGTTTCCCCTTTAGCAATGTTCTGTGCAAATCCCATTTGGGTCATGAAATGTGTTGTCTTGACTCATCAGATTCTTCCCATCACTGCCTGTAACCTACACTTGGGGCCTGCCCACAGGTCAACTCCCAAGGAGAAACGAGGAAGTGGAAATCAGGGTGCTGTTACTTCATTCTAGCTATTGGCTTATTGGCAATAGACCTGATGGTTACTTCATTTCAGAGTCCATGTATCAATGTCTTCTTGTGCTGGAGATTGCTAATTGTTCCGCAATATCCAGTCTTCTCTTCCAACTTGTGTAACTCCAAAGTTGTGTAATTGGAGAAGGAATCATTCATTAAATCAATACATTTATTGGTGGACTTCTCATCTACACCCTCTTCAGGAGATCCCTTATCAAAGGCTTTGAGTAAATAAAGTTTCCTCTACACCAAAGCTAGATCCCTAAACTCACTGCCACTCAGTCAATTCTGACTCACATTGGCCCTGTCTAGCGCTGCTGAGCTAAGTCTTGATAGGAGCAGACAGCTTTATCTTTCTCCCTTGGAGCAGCTACTGGGTTTGAACTGCCAATCTCATGGTAAGCCGCCCAGGACCTGACCCTGCATAGCCAGTGCTCCTTAAGCTAGGTCCTTCAAAAACAAAATGCACTGCCATTGAGTCAATGCCAACTCATGGTGACCTTATAGGACAGGGTAGAACTGCCCCTGGGAGTTCCCCAGACTGTAACTCTTCCTATGGGAGTAGGAAACTCTGTCTTTTTCTCCCTGGGAGCAGCTAGTGTTTTGAACTACTGACCTTGGCAATTGGCACCCCAATGAGTGACCACTATGCCACAAGGCCCCTCAAGCTAGGTCCTTAGGTGGTACAAATTGTGCTCTATTTCTAACCTTAGATTGGTGGTTCAAACCCACCCAGTGATAACACAGAAGAGAAGGCCTTGTGACCTGCTTCCATTGAGATCACAGCCAAGGAAAGCCTATGGATTGGTTCTGTGCAACACATGACGTCATCAGGAGTCAGCATCAACTGGACAACAACTAACAACACACAAAGCTACATTAAACGAGATCAACTGTTTGATTCTTCAGAATGCACTTGGTAGTGCGTACTTGTGGGGGGAAGTCAGA